TTTCACGTATCACTTGCATGTATCCATGCCTGTTGCTCAAGGTTCTAGCAGAGTACGATCTACAGCTGTGCGCCTGTAGTAAAAGAGACTCCTGTGTGCCTGTGTTCTTGTACGCCTTAGCGAGGGGATACACGCCCAGGTTACATCTGTAGGATGTTTATGGGGTTTGGGGTTTGGGCTTCAAGGATGCAGCAGATCAGGGCTGTCACGATTGAGGGTCTTCCTCGAGGCACCTGTCTGAAGACATCGAATATGTGCCATGCCATAGACTCACAGCGGTTAAGTTTCGCAACATTTACGTATGTACACACATATCATCACATATCTATATCTATATCTGTATGTATATGAGTGTAAAATGATTATATGATGGTTTTGCCCTGCATCTGCTCGGTCGTTCGGCCTCCGTGTTGTAGTCTGCGAACCGTTGCAGGCAATATCCAATCAACCAGAGCGCCAAAGTGGCCAAAGACCTTGAGTTGTTATCCAGTACACTAATGCATGACGTGTGCAAGTAATGAAGCTATATTCCTTTAGAGCAAACATGTCATCATCCTTAGCACAAGTATGTTGTGATGTTTACCGAGCCTTTCTGCGGCCAGCACAAGTTCTCACGGCCCCTCGAACCTGAATCAAAGACCAACACCGAAGTTGCTATCCGACCCCCGTTCCGGAAGAGCTCCCAAATCCCAGAGCCTGAAACCCTATATCCAAACTCCATGATGCCTCGAAAGTGGTCAAACCTCTAGGAAGCGCATGGAAGTCTGCTCGGGAGACAAATGGGACGGAACCTTGGCTGTGATTTTAGGGTTTGCGTCGAGGGTCTGGGCGTTTGCGAACATTTGGCTGCAACTTCAGATTCAGGGCGATGCCGGAAACCGAAGAAAGCGACTGACACCCCGTTCGGGCAACTAGGACAGCCTAGGTCTCGGATGTACGCAACAATCCTGCAGCTTTTCTCCGAGCCGCCGCGTGTTTCTTCACTCCTACTTACCACAAAACAGTTAGACTGGTAGCTTGAGTGCGCAGCCCGGGACTCGCAACTTTGGTTCCTGTTGTGTCCGATGCGGCAAAAGCCATGATCACTAAATGCTGCTTCGTATGCCCGGTGCTTCTGATGCACATATTCTGTTCTAGCATATGCACTCAAGTACTAGGTGCGTGCTGGCCAGAGAGTCGAACCTGGTGCATCGGACATCGGGCTGTTGGCGCTCGTAAACGAAAACCTGCACAAGGTTTAAGAGGGTTCAGGGGTTCAGGTTGAGGAGCTTGGGTCGCTGCCCCAGGGCTCATAGTGTTCGATGTGTAGACTGACCGACTTAACCCGCAACCGGCAGCATTGGAGAGGCTGGCTGAGGCACAGGGTGAGGGGTTCGGAGCGACGCCTGTCATTCTATTGTACTAGACCCCAAATTAGTGCAATTCCTGCTCGGAACAATCAGGCGCTTGTCTTAGGTGCATACTAGAAATTTAAAGGTTCCAGATGATTAAACTGCTACTGTATACCTACTTCAGGAATTCGATGCATGTGCAGTTTTGAAATTGCTAGCCAGCTCAAAGGTATGTGGTCATGGCAGCTAGGGATGTGCAGGACTCGAGGATTCAATAGCAATCCCACACTGGGCCCATGCCAGGTGTGTACTATGGCCAATGCACGAACGATCAAGTCATGGACACGCAGAACGATGCGTGCGATCGACGCAGACGCCGTGGCAATAGAAGAAGAGAGCAAGAGCCTCGGCAACATTAGCGCCACCCCGCCCTCTTCCAAGTTCGTGGCTTGTTGGTTCCTGCTTTCATTTTGCTACTTGTGCAGCCCGAAGGGTCCAAGTGCCTGAGTAGTAGATGAGTAGATAGTAAGATAAGGGCTTCAGGCCACGGACAGCCCTTGATGTTTCAAGTATTGGATTCTCGCGGATGGACTTCCGAGTGAGGCAAATGCGGGGTTGTCCAATTGATGGTCCTTATCGGGTATCCCGGTCATGAGAGTGTCGTAGGGGGACCGTGCTTCAGAGAACTTCCCGTATAAGTCTCCCGCATCAGCTCTGCACACGGCTAGGACCCTCATGTGACGTACGGATTGTTTGAAGTCATTTCTAAGGGAATTTAGTGTGGAGTGGCTCGTTCTGCTGGCTGCACTTTATTGGTTCAGCACTTGCTTGCCGCGTGTTTGTCTGTGTGGCTCTATCTGTGGGGAGGAGCGCTAACCCAGTAGTCACCAAGTAAGTAGTCTAAGTACTTAAGTAGCGAGGTTGTAATTAGGTGTACTGCATATGCAATTGGAACAAGTAAACAGATGAAGGAGTTGGTTTGAATTCAGTGTGTGTGCTTATGTATGTATGCATGCATGCATGTACATATATATATATGTATGTATGTATGTATGTATGTATGTATGTATGTATGTATCTATGTATGTGTGTATGTAT